TTGTGTGAAATCCTTAAACATCTAATAAAGAATTTGTAATGATAAGATTTTTATGACACTCTAAATGGTATCTCATACAATATTCATGCAGCAAACCAGCGTAGGCAACAATATTTTTTAAGTTCACGAAAAATGGAAAATTACCCTCAAATTGGTATAATTATATTATATCAATATATATATATATATATATTATAATCTTCATTGAATCTAAGCATTAAGTTGAATAACTATTCTGAAAGGATCATCTTATTCTCGTCGAATAAGTCTTTATCAGTTCCTTTTTTTCGTCTTAAGGTTTTCGAATGAAAAATTCAAAGCAAAATACAAAAGAGAAAACAGAATGCAAGACCTAACAAATAGCTAAATAGTTAATTGAATGAAACTCTAGTAGGTCTCATTATAACTTAAGACTAGTGAGAAGAAAATTAATTAAGTCATTCTGATTTATAATTGGTATGGATTAAAATTTTGAACAACCTTAAATTTCATTACGTAATGTACATATATTTATTAGACATCTACGTACTTAAGAATAATTTTCATAGGTTACCTGTAATTGTTGTATTGATATTGTAGTCGTCTTTTCATTTGATTAATTTAATTAGATACAAAAACACTTTGTTATAAACCTTGTGTATAAAATTATAACGAGAAAATAACAATTCCCATTATAATTTTAAACTCATTAAATTTTTACTAAAAAAAATCACTTACAACAGTTTCAAAAGATAATTGAAAGTAAAATAAATCATATATCGTTATAATTAGAATTTTTTAAATCACGAATTTTGGAAAGTTAATTTAATTACTAGATATAATAATAGAGGCAACAGAATTGTAAAAATTAATGTGTAAAATTAACGTAAAAAATAATGTTATATCAAGTATTTAATTATATATAAAAAATAGATCAATTCATATAAGGATATTATAAATTACAAAAGTATTTTGAAAAAATTTATAAAATTGTTACTGAATAATTAATGTGTAGCTTAGAATTAATTTTTGCTGGAATATATTCAAAATGCTGTTATACAAACTTTCGACAGAGGAATATATAAACATTGCTTATAATTAAATAAATATTTTCTTAACTGTTTGAAATAAATGCAATTATTATAAGCTTACTTTGCAACACACATTTTTGACGTACTTTAGTAAAAGCACTATAAAAGTATCATTTTTTATTATACTTATATTTTACGAATAAAACACTAATACTCGAGCCGGTTGTACTTTCCGCAAATTATCATATCTTCTTTTTTAACCTTCTTTATATTTTATGACGTATTTGGCGCCATTTTTCCTAAATGCCAAATGCATTTGGTCATTATGCATCTTTCTTCGTATCTTTAAATTTCGACGTCACGAGAATACCGCATCAATAACTTCAGATTAGCACTAAGTAGTTTGCAAAAATTCAAGGAGTCTCAGTCTCAGCCTAGTGGAAAATGTATCAAATTACACAACAATGTTAAAGATCATAAAATAATCAAATTATGAAAGAAAGTTTAATGCAATCAATGCGTTCTCTTTTCCAGTTTGCACAATTAGCAATTTTTATTATTTTTTGAAATACCAAATACTTTACAAAAGTAGTTGTATATTTTTGTAGGCTTTCTTTTTTCCTGTACTACTATTGTTTTAAGTTATACAAATACGTTAGAATGCTATATTAATAAATAAGAGTAAAAAGTTTTCAATTTTTTCGATAAAGTTATTCCGAAAATAAAAAATAATGAATCCGTAAATTTACGATCGAAATTTTTTTACAAAATTGAGCAATAATGTAACATTGGAAGATAAATGTTAAAAGATAAAATAATATGACATAATGCGTAGTAAAGGGAAGCTGAATCTACAAGTCCGATTAGATTATTTATGGCTTAACGGCAATTCGCCTGAATGTAAATGAAAAAATGAGAGAGAAATTCCATCTTATTTCTCGTGATTACATCATGTTCGTGCCATTTGCACGACTCGTTTGTCATTAGAAGCTTCAAGTGCGAACATAATAATACATTCTGTGGAGATCTTCTCTATTATTTTATTCTTTATCTTTTCTATTGTCATCTGAATTTTTAATTGTTTATATAAATCAGCTCTTGTACATTGACTGATTTATTGTAAATATAAACTAATAATTACGTAAAAATTAATAAATCAATTCTTAATGTGAACATAGGCGTCAATATAATTTATTTAATTTATCAGTCTTCATAAATGAAGGATAATCCAAGAATTACATTATTGCACTGGATAAATGTTTGTTTCTTTGTTGTTTCGCAAAATTATCAATTCTAGCGAAAAGGTTAATACTTGACTCATTTTTATCGTGTCTTCTAATACTCAAGAAAGGGCGAAATTGCAAAATCAAAATAAACCCACTACCATTGTGAAAGAGGACTTATTTGTTTTCGTAATTGCCAGTATAAGTAAATCAGTTATTGGTTGTCACAAGCTCAAACTAACGATACCAAAAATTGCTAAGAAAGTTAGATTTGTATCAAATTTACTGTGTTAATAATCCGACACAAAACAAAATTATACCTTCCGTAATTTTTAATTGTAAGTTATTTTTTTCAGATAATTCAACAATTCGACAAGAGAGATTATTTAAATATTAAAATAGAATTTCGAATATAATGCGTTTCTCTTGCACTCCTTATGTTTGAAAACAAAAGATGGTTATCTACGGTACTTTCCGTGAGCAGAAAACAATCCGAGCAAAGATTAATAAATTTTTAGAATTTTCCTTAATATGTCACATCGAATTATAACGTTCTTCGATTCTGGCCCGATCGGTATCTCTGGTTATCAAGGTTACTTAGATTATTACCATTTTACAATTGTAATATAGATCCTTAAACAATTTAATGTTTTTTATTTCTTTCATTACAATATTATCATTTTTTGTCATTTTATTTTTTTGTATATGTTTGATTGATATAATAATTTGACATTCTACAAAAGATGCAAAATAATTACATTTATATGGAATATGAATGAGTAAACAAACGAATGAAGATATACAAAAATTAACTTTTTCTGAACAAGCGTAATCAAGCTTTGCTTTATATTTATTATAATTAAAAGAGAAAATTTAATTCGTTAAAATACGACTTTTTAATAAATATATTATCTCATTTAATGCCATCTTATAGGTATCGTGAAAAATGACGTATTTAATCAATATCTATTGTGAGTTAAGAAAAACTATAATTTACAGCATCGGTTAAACAAACAAAAAAGTTATATTGAATCTGAAAAGCAAGATAAATAGAATTTTAGCGATAGGTTAAGAAAACCGTATATTAAGAAGGATAAAAAAAAATGAAGGTTTTCCTTTAATTGATGGTTACAATATTCAAAATATTTGTCAATGTTTTGAAGCTCAACTTTAACATTAATTTTCCAAGATACTAATCTATTAAGTGGATAGCGTAAAACATCACTTTTTTTATAACCAAGAACATTATAATACTTGTTTTAAAATTGAATTTTTCGATTTTTTAAATTTTCAAAAAGTTTGAAGCTTGCCTAGAAAAAAAAAGTTTCATACGATTTTGAATTAGATATATTTTAGGCGTCCAACAAGAAGAAAATTTTTCTAAAAATTTCTTTTAAAAAAATTAATCAAAAAAATTGTCCTTATTGATTAAAAAATTATCTAACAATATTTGCATTTTATTTGGATACATTTTCGTACATTTTTTATAAAATCGGTAAGTAAATATTTGTTTTCAGACTATCGTATCTTTTTATTTAGAATAAAAGATAAAAATGAAATTTTGAAAGAAAAGCATTTGTTATGCTGTAGGTATTATACATAGTTTTCTACTATACGATCTACATTCTATAATGAACTGTGGTTTAGATTGTGACAACATTGCTGATAATGCTATTGATTCTATTTCACCTTTGGAGTCACGAAATCGCTCGACTTTCAACCAAAAACAAAAAAAAAAAGTAAAAATGACACACACTATTTGGAAAAGCGTTGATTCGCAGTGGAGAAAAAGCGCTAAGACAATGCCACGTCTTCTCGAATGCACCTACGTGAAGAGAGTAACGGCATATGATCGAAAGACGGGTACACGGAAGAAGTGTCGAGATATTATACTCCCCTCCCCGATCATACTGCATGATTTTTCTAGCATTCCCTTCTTCTTTTTTCTCTTTCCTTCTTTGACCGTAATGATATGAATCAACGAAGCCAAGAAATTTTACAAGGAATCAGGGGTTCGTTGTCGCATAATGCACGGCTCCATCGAATAGTTATTCCGATTTTTTCCCCTCATCTTTAAATGCGCTTATTGATCGTTATTAATGTTCTGCATGCATTCTGTATTACTATATTATGTTGCAAGAGAGAATCAGTTTTCACATTTATCCACTCGCAATCTGTTCTTTCTTCGTAATTTGTAACTAGTTAATTGAATATTCGGTTCTTCGAGAATGTCCCACTCTTTATTTGTAAATTTAACTAAATTTCGCGCTCTATCACGCAGTCTAACACGTTTTATCTTTTACGACATGCTACACGAAAATGGATTTTTTTCTCAAAGAACGTTCACCAGGGAACAACGATTGACAATCGGAAGAAGCTAGTAATCGTGATTTCTTCTGAACATCGACAGCTGTAGAAATTCAGATGTAAAACAGTTGCCATGCTGCCAACGTCTATTCAATTTGCATAATAAATAGACACTTAAAAAATGAGTAAATTAATTTACCAAAATGGTTATCACGAGCTTGAGAGATTATCGAGCCCAGGTGGTAAAAAAGGACTACGATATTGTTTATCAACAAGAATCCGGTATACGCGTTAACCATAGAAGAGAGTGGCTCGAGTACGAGCACGAGAACACATTACAAGGGTCGCGTATCCTGACTTCGGCTTATGGTCTTCGACCTAAGAACCTCGAACCCCGAAAGCCGGCAAACCTCCGATGCAGAGGCAGTTATCCCAGAGAGGGACCAACCGATCAACCAACCTTGAATGGACGTGAACGAGAGGAGCACCAGGAGGAGGGTCGCGCTCACGACGACATCGTTGGTTCGTTGGTACATCTTCGTGGTCATGGTGTCCAGATGTGGCTGGTCGTCACTTGACAAGGAACTACTATATTCGGGTTGGGAAGGAAGAGGAGGGGAACACCTCTGCAGCTGGGTAAACTCGCACGAAGTCGATTGCACTGACACACTGGTATCGGATACCGCGCACCGTTTCTCGTCTTACACCGAACAGCGAATCACTCGGACACAGTGACCAGGTAGTCTAGGCTATATTCGCGACGACAAGCAAAAAGCCGACGGAAAACAACCGATTGCCTCGACGCGCGAAGACCGTCTGCCGGCGCGCGCTTTACCTTCGTGCTGACTCGTGTTTGCTCGCCATCGAGTCCGATTACGACCGAACATCGCGCCCCTTCTTTCACTCCACCCCCACCCAGGCCAACAGCCGCTTATGTAGCTACTCTAGCAGCCGACGCAGACGCCAGCCTTGACGCCAAAACCGAAGCCGAAACCGAAGCCGAGCTGATACCGTTACTCACGTGGCTTCACCTTCGTCACAGGGCTCGGGCCGAGTCTTATTCACCCCCCGCAATCGTCATTACACAAATATGCTTATTTTATCCTACTTGTGCAAACCAAAATTTAATAAACCACAGCCAGCGTTCTTTCGGCTCAGCTTGGCCGATTATTGTTTCGATATGAATAACTATAGAGCTATAAATACCCTTGAATACCTTTGTATATTGATTTTGTCTGAGCCCTAACATTTCCCATTAATGTCCAGACCCAATGTCAAACTAGCTCGATTTACAGTTTGTTTTACTTTTTTATTCTATAAAATTTTATTTCACTGCTTAGCTATAATTAAGGTAATCTGTTAATGCGATTATCTTTATGGAATCTTCGAATGAATAAAATTTTAACAAAATATATTTTCATCATTATAAAATTCTTTTACACTTTTGTACTGCGCTTGAATGTACAATTTATGCAATTCGTTAAAGAGGTGTTGTTGCTGTACCTTTTATATGTACAACCTATGCAAGATTAAAATTTACTGTACATTTTTGACTTTTTAATATCACTTCAAATTGTACCATAAAATAATGCTATTACAATTCAATAACATAAATAATTAAAAAGTTCATACAAGGACTATTAAGTAAGTAAACCATTAAAGTTATTTATTTGAAAGATAATGTTAAATGTAAATGAAACGTTTCTTATTATTACTCAATCAATTAAAATAATAAAGACATAAATGTGTTATCACTAACTATATTACGATTAAAACTGAAAATTTACAAATACTAATTCTGAAAGAATATATTTATATTCTAATTAATATTTTGCATTAAATACAATTGAGACTATTATGTATGTTTTTTAATTCCTTTATTGCTTATAGCATCATCAAGCATGATATATCATTAAAGAATAAAGATGTGAAGAGGAGTTGTTTTTAAAGCCGACCGACTAATTTATTCAAATAACATTTTCTTATTTGCAAGAAGTTTCGTATTGATCTATATTAATATAAAATATCACAAGATTCTATGATCACATAAATAATTTCTTCATCGCCTTTTAAAATTTGTTACTACTGTAAAGTGTTTATTAATCTAAAAATGTGTAAATAATGTATCTCAATTTTTTTTTAAATTGAATACAATTATTTTTTAAAAATAGTGTTTGCTTTATTTACGTCGCAATGGTTATTATTTTTCATTTAATTTATTGCAAAACTCCACCAGAGATCATTCATTATCACTGCGGTATCATTCTTCAATATTTTACACAAACTACATTTAAAATACTTAGTTATGTTCAGCTTTTAATATATTTAAATATTATATTCTCATATGTCACAACGTATCTAAAGGTCTTTTCATTTTAGCTTTTCTGCTCAAATTTTATACATTACTTCATTATTTTAAATTTGAATTCTATTCCTAATGAATGTTAGGTTAACCAAGCTAATTTCAATATTTTAATATTATTGGATATATTATTGGGTTTTCCATTTTATTCCCAAATAATGTTCTGTATTTTCTGCCCAACTAATTTATAATTATTTCATAGCAATTGTTTAAAAATCTTAAATTTATTTTATTTATAGTTAATATTAAATCTTAAAATGTTTTATGTTCATGTAAAATATAACAATTATATAATTAACTAGCGAAATTCAATGAGTAAAAATTTCATGTTATATATATATATATATATATATATATATATATCGACTATTTGAATTTATAATACTTTTCGAATTTAATGGCTTATGTTTCAAATGAATACTGGCTAATATATGTTTTTATTTTTTTAGTATTTTAAGTTCCTCAATAATAATTAAAAATATTATTAGAGAAATGAAAATAATTTTATTATATTGAAAATAAACAAGAATTCAAAATACTTTTTATTTTCGTATAATTCTATCTTAGCTTAATAAATTTAATATATTATTTTCGATTGTTTTTTATTAGTATATTTTTATAAAAATTATGAATGTAATTGATATTTATTAATAACACTTTAATTATATATAAATACAAATTTTGTAATGGAAGTCCATTTATTACTTATAGCAATTACGCAGAATATTTTGATTATTGATATTATAACTGATTCAATAATTAAGTTTATTTGCATTATAAACATAACTAATAGATTTTTTAATTGAACCATCCTGTTGAAAAACTGGTATGCTGAATAGTAATATAAGCCATAATAATAACGTTAAACATAACATTTTACTTTTGAAAACATTGAAAAATTGTGTAATTATAGAATTTTATTTTTAATTTAAATTGATTTCTTATACTCAAAATATGTTTAAATATTTAACAAACTATTATAATATAATATTACAATAAAATGTGATACATAGTCATTCTTATACGATCATTTTTAAAACAAATAATTAAATACCATTTAAATGAAAAATTTATTACTACTATAAGGTCTTTCGTTTAAATTTGTGCATTTTTTAATTTTCTCATAAAATATTTAACAGAGCACATAATATTATTATTTTTCAAATTAAATGACCTAAATTTAAAATCTGTTCCTCTATAATTATATTTATTATGAATTATATACATTTTATTTTAATTTTAATTTCAAAATAAGTTTTGAACTTGAATCGGATCATTACTGAAAATAGAACAATAAGTTTATACTCAACCCTTAATACACATGTACACATAATGTTATAATTGTAAAAATATTAAAATTTTTAATAGTTTAATTAAAATTCATGATTTATTTGTATCTATTATTAATGAATATAAAAAACATCACCTTAGGGGTTATTTTTCAGGAGAAAATATTGATAAAAAATTTTTTTATCACGATGTTGAATTACATTAAATAATTTAAAGAATGATTTTTTGAATTAAATCTGTTACTCTTTTAATAACTTGCATGATTTGAGCTTAAAAAAGCATAAACCAGTTTCCCTTCTAGTTTTCAAAATTTTTAATAATTTTCTGTAAAATATTTACTGTTTTGCAATTGTGAACAATTTAATTAAATATTTTTTATTTATTTGCATATGCATGCTAGTATATTTACATAAATATTATTTATTCTGTTATATGTTGTATATATACATAAAATAATTAATTAATTTAAAGATTATTAAATTATACATAATTTGAAAAACATATATATTATATGTGTATTATAGTATTTATTATTTAATTTTTGAAGTGTTGAACGTTGTACAGCAAATAAGTGCTAAGCATGCAACTGCTTAACACGGACTATTTAAAGTAATTTAGTTTAGATTTCCTACAACTTCTTATTACTACTATATACTACTTAATAGTATTGCAAATACATATTTAAATGTTGAATTAAGATCTGAAGAATTATTTTAAGAGAGTTGTAATAGGAACTACTAGGAATTATACATGAGGTTATAATTAATTATCACGAAATGTATGAAGTACAGGGTTAATATAATTAATAAGGTATTTTCATAGAAAAAAACTTCATCTTTTCAATATGAATTTAATTAATATTATTGTTGTTATCATACTGTATATATAATCCAAATGGCTCGGCTCTTTTCATTTACCACTGTGAAATTAATTTATTTGGTAATTTATACTTAATATAATTTGTTTAATTCATATAAAAAATACACACTGCTTATTAATTATAAAAATTATAAAAAATATTTCTCTTTCTATCTAATCTTTTAATATTCTCTTAATAACCTTGTGTTTACTAAAAATTTGTATTACTTCATATTATTGAATACTATATAGTAATAAAAAAAGTTAAATACACTAGCCATTACGCAATAAATACCTTCAATTTAAATAATTTTGATAAATTTATTAAAATCTTGACCTATCATTTCTTATACAATTAAATTATTTTCATTATTCAAATACCGATCAATATTTTGTCAGAAAAATTAAATTATATGTTTAGATACAACAAAATACTTTATGTTTAATATAATAATTTTGTATAAATTAATATAGTAATATAGTAAATTGTATAAGTTTAATATAATTATAAAAACATATGAAAAGTTTTCATTTAATTAATTTAATGTAAGTGAATTTTTATGGAATTTTATGTTAAATACTTATATACTATTACATAATTTACTTTTATTTGATTCATTATCTAACAATTATTCATTACAAAATATAATATTTAAAACTTTTCACTAACTGACTCGGTTTTCCTGATCATTACTACATATTAAATATACTTAAATTTCAATAGAGTATCATCTTTTATCACGATTTAATTATTTTGTCATGTTTTCGTGAATTTGTATTTACTTAGTTTTGATCAATTATACAAATTTAATAATTTTAATTTTCTATTGCTAACTAATGTGTTGTTTATTCACTTATTTAGGTTTTGAATAAAAAATTTCAATAGGGCCATAAAAGAAATTCACCATTATTCTTGTTATTCTGTATTCACCAACAACTGTAAATAAAATTGTAAATAAAACCACCTTCATAAAACTTTAATTATAAAAAAAACTAGGATTTAAAAAAATTATACTTAATTCGTAAATAAGTTAGAATTTTTATATTTAAATTTTATAAACGTTTATTGGCTTAAATAGTCATACATTTTTATTAAATTATACATATAAAGCATTGTTTTATTATTAAGGAATTAATTTATAAAATTATAATTTTTTTAGTAAATGTCAAAAAACTACAAATAAAATATTAATATATATTTTTCTCAAAATTTATTATTCAAAAGTGGTATACATTTATACGAGTATTCTATGCAATTCATTGTAATTATCTGTAGATGTATATTTATGTATAATATTTGCATTTTATTCTAGTAGTGCTATACATTTGATTTAACATAGGCTTATCAAATAATTTCGAAAATATATAAATTAGTTATATTTCATACTTTTAAAATCACACAAATTTTTAATATGATTTAAATTTGATAATTTAACGATATTTATGTTCGATAAAGCGTTAACTGTATTTTAGATTCAATATACAGTTATCTGAATATTCATTCACATGCACTTAAAATTATTTTTTTACACTTAAAAATATATATTAGCTATTTACAAGTTGTAATAAAAATGATTAAAAAAAATTATTTGAAATTATAATATTAAAAGAATTAAAAAAGTAAATTATTATATAACTAATGTCTATACGAACAAAAATTAATTTATCTATTTCGTTACATATACATAAAACGTGTAAAATTTAATAAAAGTTAAAATGGAATTTCAACAAGATATAATTTTTAAATATACATATAAATTATTTTAAAAAACTTCAATCCGAATGTAACTGAAAGGTTGCACAATTATTTAAAAATTTTAAAAATCATCTATGCGTGATTTGAATAATCTGTTATCTGATAAATTATCTTTTATATTGTTACGTAATAAAATTATTTTTTTTAATTATAATACATTTGATTATATATTTAAATATTAATCCATAAGTATATTTTAAAAATTTTTATTTTAGAACTTCAGGAACATTTCTAAATTAGAATCTTTTAGAATGAGTTATTGTTGAATTATTAGTCTTTTCCCATTGTTATATACATAAAAATATATTAATAATATAAAATTAATAAAAAATTTCTATTTATTTTATTTTATGAATTTCATTAGGAAATTACTGTTAGAAAGAAAGGTTTTCGTTTAAATATAAAAGGAATTTTTTAATTTATAACCAAATGAAATATGAAAAGTATTCATATATGATGAATAATCAATATTAAAGCACAGTTATTAACAAAAGAAGATTTGATTATTAGAAATTTAAAGATAATTACTAAATATAAGATATTCGTGCTTATAAAAAACAAACTTCATTTTTTGCTAAAGGCAATGAATGAATGATAAGATCTATATTTCAACATAAAATACAATAAATGTTCATACAATAGAAGGTGCTTATTTAAAATTGAAAAAATTTAATAAATCTATTAAAAAACATTATACAGGTGCACATTCGATTGTTTATTATTTTGATTATTTAAGAATTTAGTTTACGAAAGTTTCCGCCAAACAATTTTTCTTAAGAAAATACAATATTTATAATTTTCATAATTTATTTTATAGTCACAATTAATGTTACTAAAATTATAATAAGAATATCGTTTTTACAAAATAATAATCATTGGTAATATACTATTCACAATCCTATAAGTATATTATTACTAATTTTATAGTTTGAACAATTATTATTAATTTCACATTTATATATACAGAAGTATTAAAATCTTAAGCAGATTCATAAAACACAAAGAGTACATGGTACTCAAAACGTTAGTAGGTACACTCAATACGATAATCATTTATTTATATAATGCAAAGCATTAAATTGATTGACTGCATATCCAAAGAGTGAAAATGAATTAATTTTTTAATATTGCCTTCCTGTGACTGAGAAAACATTTAATCATTTAGCACTAGAAAAAATGTATTTGTACATAGTGATTTAATGTGATTTTTTTAATATTGGAGTGTTCCATTTTACAAGCTATATTATAAATGATTACTATTAAATCAAGATTCTTATAAGAATGAATTAAATATGAAATAATATATTTTTATTATTATTGATAACTGATTTTCAAAAATAATTTATGCATTGAATATATTTTTAAATTTATTTATACGTAATATATACGATTACTTCTTAAAAATTCTATTAAAAGAATTTTAAGATATCAAACATATGAAAAGTTTATTTTCCTTGTTATTTTTATTATTTTGTACATTTGCTAATTTTATTTTAATATACATTTCTATAGAAAAATAATAAATTTCGGTTTTTATTCAAATTTAAGCATCATCTTAATTCAATTATAAAAATATAAATATTTAAAAATTAAAAATTAAATTATTATAATCAATACCAATATTTGTTTCCAAAGTAAATATAACGAGTAATTAAAAAAAAGTTTCATATTAAAATAAGTATTTTTGCTAGTTTAAAAATACTTTTAAATTAAACAATGTTTAAAGCTATAATAACTTTTGATTTTAAATTTGAAGATTTTTATCAATTGATCATTTACTTTACACGCTTCTGTTGTCTCTGTCTGTAAATATCATTTACAGGTGGAGGTGGTAAATCTTCCTCTTCACTATCATCACCACCTAATCGAGTCCTTTTTCTTTTATTAATAATACTGTTACCATCAGCAGTTTCATCAACAATCCAATGAACTGATTTGGCTAGATCAAATAATTTTGTATCACAACCATTATCAGCTACTGGTAATGGTGCTAAAAAAAATTATTAAAAACTGTAATACAATTTTATATATGGTCATATATCTTTATAAAATATGAAATAACCGCATGAAAAATAAAAGCTCATGTTGATCACTTTAAAATTTCTGTATCAGTTTGTCCATAAATTTGTCCTTAATTTTGAATTTATTAACTAAAGTACAAATATTTATAACTGTTGTATTTTTATTTATAGCAGATAAATTTTTTATTTATAGCAGATTAATTTATCATAGTAATTCTACTTATATATAACTTAAATTTGAAATAAATCGTTAAAACACAAATAATTCAAAATTGTTTTATACTAGTTTATGTATATAATGAAAAATAAACGAATATATTCCATAGTTTTTAAGATTTTTACTTAAATAATTAAATATTTAAAACATCGTATTTATCAGCATTTTCTTAATAAGAGAAATTGTTTTATTTATCGTAATCATTTTTATTATAAAACTATGATTTAAAACTTAGAAAAATAGTTTGTTTAAAATTTATATAGAATTTAACATTGTTTACAAAACGATTTTTTATATATAAAAATATTCATTTGTGTATTAGTATTCTGAATTAACATCAGCTTTAATGAATCTGCTATACCGGTTGAGTATTATTTGAGGTTATAAAATATACTTCAATTTACATAAGCTTAAATTAAATTGAATTAGTTCTTTATAGTGAAATTATATTTTAAAAACATTCTAAAAATATATGGATAATTTATTTATATTTAAAAACAAATTCAAGATTTTTATGTAAAAAATTGTATATAACTATAATTTTTAATAGTTTTATTGTTTTAAGACTTGATGAATTTAACATATTCATGACCCATGTAAGTGCACATGTATGTAGGCTCATGCATGCAAGTACTACACAGAAAAATCTACGTTAATATATATTTTAAAAATAAAATCTTTAATATTAAATTATATTAAAGTTTAGTATTTAATACAAAATCGAAATATAAAACGAATCACTATAAAAAATTTGTGGATATTTTCATTTTCATTTATTTAAATGTATTTCAATCCATTTATTATTAATTAAGTATTTAATGAATGCATACAAACCATGATCAGGTAATTGAATTCGACCAAATACATCTACTAATAATTCAACTGAAACAAAAGGACCCCTAAAACATCCTGGTGGAGGTAATATTGTGCACAATTGCGCAGCTGCAGGAGGTAATGGAAATGATCCACCTTAACAATATACAACAGTTTCAGTTACTTATGCCTTTAAATTAATAATAAATTAGACAATTATATGTATTAATGCCTAATTATTTTAAAGTACAAAATTTAATTACAACTTCTAATATTACTGACAAAAGAAAAAGAAATGTTGGTATGAAAATGCTGAATCAATGAAGCCGTAAGTTTTAGACACTTATAAGATATACTTTTTAAGAAATTAAATATTTATTCAAATATATTTTTTCTAATTTTGGTAATGAGATCTTAATATTCATTTAAATTTTGGGTTTTGATAATATACTGGATTTAAAAACATGTGCATAATTAATAAATTGTTGCTAAATGTAATAAAATTTTATTTTAACAATTAAATATTAAGCATATAATTATAATGTGTACAACATTTAATCAATAAAATTAAATAAAAGTTTAGATATAAAAAAACATTAAAGAATATTATTTTATTTAATATATTTCTATTTCATCCACTACATTTTTAGACATTTAGTACCAGTATAATTTATTTTGATGTAAAAATATGACGAAATTACCTGGAACAGGATGTTCTCCTGGTAATGGATTAACCTTCGGTTTATATGGAATCATTTGTGATACATCTGGTCTTGGTAATGATGCTATAGCTTCTTCTGTATCTGGTGTTCGAGGTAGTATACAAGTTGCACTTCTACTAACACTTGATACTTCCATATAGCCAATTGATCTTAATTCCATTGGCGTGCAAGGATATAAATCTAAAAATTTATATCTATCAACTAGTTGTGCAGTTTCTTTACCTTCGAATTCTTTTATCTAAAATTTTAAATTCTTTATTAATAAAACTATATAGCATTTTAATATTTTAAAAAACAATCTGTATCAACCTTTTCTAATACTGCACTACGACGTTTCTCAACTTTTACGATACTAGCTAAGTCTCCAATATTTGATTCAAATTCTAAAAACCGATTCCATATATCACTATAAAAAATAAGTAACAAATATCAATTTTATTGTATTTCATAACTACAACAAATTTATTTAATAAATATAATACGGCTTTTTTAATACATACACAGATTTTTCAGGTTCCAAACTACCAGATGAAAGAACACGTTCGAATAATACTCTAGTGTTATTATCCTCTAAGAAACAAAAAAAATTTAAATACTTGAAAATAGAAAGAATCACAATTGTGATTCTTGTAATTAAATCAAAATTGTAAATAAAATTAAAAAAATAACATACCATTTAAATGCGATAAATAATCAATATAACAAAGAATGTAATCTGGATTGTCAGCAAATTTTTTTAAACCAAGTTCGAAAATTCGAAATGCTATATTTTTATCCTTAGTACAATAATATTCCATAAGAGCAGCAGCAACATACACATGATGCCTACATCTTTGATCCTCTCTAGCTCTTTTAAATACTGTTCTTGCCGACTTTATGCCTTCAGCTCTTCTGGCAAATTTCATATATTGAACGTAAGCCTAAAATAATTGGAAAAATAAATAATGGCTATAAGTTAAATTAGAACTAGACAATCGTTATTTATTGAATATATTATTAAAAATATCTTCACAATAAAATTAAATAAGAGTTAGAATATCATAAAACTTAAACGGATCCTTGATGAAAATGATAGCTTTTTTACATATTTAATTGAAAAATAATAAAATATGTTTTATTCGGAATATACTTGTAAATAAAAATATTTTTTAAATAAGTATAAATTGTTAAAAATTACATAATTATTTTATTTATTACAAAATTGTCTTAGATTTAAATAAATAGGATGATATGATCCTAATATTTCTATATAAGATATACAAAATAATGACTATTTTTCATTTATTCTTATAACTTGTGGTTGAAATGGACATATTTTTACTTCATATATATTAATAATTTACTTGCTCTATATAAATTAAAGCTATAGATACATTAAACTTTTGGTTATTTAAAAATATATTGTAATAATAATTTCCAAAATTTTATGATGAAATTTAATACTTTTGAAATGCATTGGTATTAATAGTTATTTATTAATAGTTTTTTTCTTAAATTTTTGCTTAGTTTATACAATTATAAAATTACATGTTACTCAAGATTTCTAAATTAAAAAATTTACTTCCAAAGAATTATTATTATTTTTCCGGTAGATGGCTTTATAAAATATTCGTAAAACCGATACTTACCAGAGTAGGATCAATATCTGATATGTCGAGGAACTTCTGATATATTTGATGCACTTTCTCGTATTTAACTCGACCTTCTTCGAAATCTGCGTGCGCAAAATACAACAACATATTTTTCGACAAGAGGGTATTAGTAGCACGTTCAAACATAGTAGCGGCCTCATCGCTCAAATTTTTTGCTGCATTAACATCACCCTTCTCAGTGAGGATCTTAGAGCTAAGTTCGAGGAAATGAGCGGCTTGGTGCCAAACAGCAGGATGATGCCCGAGGCACAGCAAGCACTGCTCAATTGCAAACATGACTCTACGAGCGACCAGCGACGTATCCTCCGTTCTCAAAGGATTGCCACGTTCCCAAGCTATATATTTTTTCCATAGCTCAACCTAAAATTATTTAATTTATCTTTAAACAAACAAGCAATTATTACAATATTTCCAGCCCTCTTTATCTTTAAGTACATTGACTTTTTACGTGTTTTTTTATTTCAACATGTATATTCCAATTATATTTTTAGGTATGAGCCGCGATGTAAGCAAATCGAGACGCAGAGTCGATACTACAAAATTATTAGACTGATCTTTATACTCCAGTCATCAATTCGAAGATTTCTATAGAAATCTATTTATTGATCTTTCTTTTATCATTAATTATTAATTATAACACAAAATACAGATTTTATAGTTTCCGTAATACTTGATTTAATAGTTAACTTATCATAAATTATTTGTTTCCTAAATTAACACATAATTTAATCAAATAAATACTTTATCCAATCAAATTAATAATAATTATTAACCTGTAATAAATCTTTTACCTTAAATAAAACTGATGAATTACAATTTCATTAAACCGATTTATAAATTTAATAAGATAAACATAGTATTGATAATCGAAAATTTATGTATACATTATTTGATCGATATTACCTTTCATTATTTACTATTTAATAATGGTTATTTATTAATATTCACGTTTTATATTTTTTATTTTACTTTGATAATTATTTAGTGGAATATCCGGTTTATATAATTATTATATTAATAATATAATAATATAATATTACAAAATGGGAGGCTTTTCAGACACAACAGGTTTAAATATAAAAATATTACTCCATTTTGAGTACGAGTCATATAATAATTAAAAAAAATGAAAGAATACTAAGAAACTAACATATTTATTTACACAAGTTTTTTAATATAAAATAATTAAAATAATAAAATATTTTTTATATTAAACATTATACTTTGACTATTAAATAAAAAATTGATTACTATATAAAAATATATATCCAATGACGTCCTTGGGTTCTAGAATTTTTTAATATCTTTAATATCATTACGAATTTTTTCTGGACTAAAGTCATTAAAACATGTAATCGATATTATAAAAAGAATATTTTATTTTAAACCTTTCAATTTATTGAATTTATCTGTGAACAATGAAATTATTAAAACAAACTAATTAAATTAAAAACAATTAATAATATGTAAACTTTCGAATATCTGCATTTTCCTCATTTATATATCAGATTATAATATTCTTACTATATACATTTATTAAAATTCACATGGAATAAATCAATAGTAAATATAATGCATGAAGTACATTTTATGCAATCAAAACATAAATAAATAAATATAAAATTTGAAAGGTGCTTAATTTAATTATTAGAGAAAAAGGAATATATTTAATACAGTTTAATAAGAAAATATTATAATTCCAACATAATGAAAATTTCCCTCATTTTCTATTAAGTGATTTGACGATAATCTATAAAATATATCGAGGTTATTACATATCAAATAATGAAGAAAATGTTTTAACATTTACAATTGCAATTTATATATTACTAATTTTTAAATGTAAAGCCATCAAATAATAAGATAGTTTTTACTTTACTAACCGTTGTATTAACTAGAAAAATTATGAATCTTATTAAATGCAAAATATTATTGAAGAACATTCATTATCTCAAGATTCGTGTCATACACATCAGAGATGATGTAGTTTCAAAATCAAGATACGAGTGAACGTGATATATTTGAAAATATTCTATAAAATATACTTACAAATATTTAATTTTATTATAATGTAACTTTATGTAACCAAATTTATGATGAAAAAATCAGTTCGATTTTTTTTGTTTAAATATAAAGATAAAATTTATATTCTCAATTACTGAAATTATGTTATATTGAAGTAAAAAATTTTTGTAATTAATACAAGTTTACTTTTATTTATTACTTTTTGTTTTTAAAAAAGGAATCGATTGTATATAAAATGAAGACATTTCATTTTAAAAACACAAAAATCAATAATTTTTCAATTTGTTTTCTGCAATATTTTTTATAATTACTATTATAAATAATAAAATTATTTTCAAACCCATTATTAGTTTTAAATTAAATTTTTTATTTATGCTTACAACTTAATTGAAAATTTTAAATAAAAATAGAGTAAAAAATTAACAAAAAAAAATTTAAGTTATTTACTTTAGAAAACGATTGAAAATAAAATTATACATTGAAGATTAATTATATCGATTATCAAAGATATATTTTATATTAAGTTTAATAGATGAATATTTATGACAAGAAAAGTATTCATAAACGGTCTGTACAAATTTTTAATTAAATACCATAGCTGTAATATAAGTTATTTATTTTGAGTTTTGTACAAATTTGAAACTTTGAAACCAAGATCAAATTTAATAATTTGATGTTTGAAGAAATTAGTATAGTATATTTGTTTGTTATAATAGATTCTCATATCATGTCTATTTAATTACTATTATACGATCAACAGCGTACAAAAGTTTTTTCCTTTTTGCCAAAGTCTTTTACTGAAAAATTATGAGATTTTGGGTATTAGTTATTTTGTGATAATCTATACGTAACTTAAAATAAAATACGAATTTTCATTTATTTTACTAAAATATAAGCAAATTTAACCATAAAGTATTTCTACTTCATTATTACAAGTTTTATATAATATAATAAAATATCTAAAATAAAAGATAAAGTTTAGGTTTTTATGTAAGTAAATAAAAATAACATATTGTATTTGCATTGTATTAATGACAAATATGAACTTTTAATAACATTTAATACCAAATAACAAATCCCAGAATTAAAAATATAATATAATATATTTTTAAATTAATTTCGATAAAAAATAAAGAATATATTATAATATTAATAAAATCAAGTTTATGTTTTTAATGATATATTTTTAATATATTAGTAGTATAGGGTAACTATTCAAGTCTATAACAGAACATAAGGATAATTAATATTAACAATATCTAATTTTTTAGTATAAGGAGAAAAAATTTAATTATTTCGTCTATACCTTTTAGCAATGTTTTACATCTTTTTTCAACTTAAGGCTTTTCAACTTTCAGTATAAGTATTCTAAAAAAATTAGTAATTGCTTTAAAATTTGACTAAAGTTTTGCATAGAATTTAAATAAAATAGTTTTTAGTTCTTTATAAGATTTTTTTAAAAATATATTTTTCTAAGTAACATAAGTTATACAAAAATTTAAATAAGCAAATGATCGAAGAAACATTGTTGTTAAAATTTTCAAATAAATCGTTTGATAAATGAGGAAATATTTTATATAAGATTTTGAAAAAATCTAAATTGTTCTAATAGAAAAACGAGATATATAATATTGCATGGACATAAGGGTAAATAATAATAAAATGAAGATCAGACGATAATCTAAGCATTATCTAAAAAAATATGTAAGATTCAGATAAACGTCAATTTTTATAGGATACTGATAGATCAAATCTTACTTTTAAAGTAATGTGAATTAAGTTTCAATTTTTATTTCTGATCAATTTTAAGGGTATCAGAAATATTGAAATCCATGTTAAAAGAAGACACTTTACAACTGGTTTATAAAGTTGTTATAAAAATGTTTGTTAGTACAGTTTAGACATTTTAAAAATATCTAAAATTTTAAAAAGGCTAATTTTTCATAAATAATTTTTTTTGTTAAGTAACTATTACAGTATAACAAACCAATATACATTTAAGTTTTAATTTAATTTTTTATTTTATATAATACACAGATAAAATTAAGTTATGATATAGAATAAGAGATATAGAGTGGATCATTTTTATTAAACATTGAATAAATGAAATGAATGAAGCAAAGAGTTTAATTACTTGTTTAATTTCTTCCGGATGACCAGTTGGAGGTACACTTGGTGCACTTCTATTCAGGCCTCTTGTTACTGCTTCCAATTCTTTTGCAACTCTTCTTGCATTCATATAATCCCTAGATCGCTCAATTGCCATTTTTTCTGCAATAATAGGATTAATGTTTTGCTCGAAAGACATATAATCTTTCCATAATTGTTCCATGTTGATCATAGGATTCACAACGCCACGTTGATAAACCTAGTTATTTGTATTTAAACTTTGTTACTTATTTGTACGTTTTAAAATTTTAAATAAAAACTCGTAGTTTAAATGTTAAAAGGTCTACAAATTTTTTGCTTATAATTTTTCTAAATTCATTTTAGTAAAGTATGCCGTAATATAAACATATAAATTGATTATTTTAGTTCTTATATTAAGAGTTGCATTATTTTCAATGAACTTTTTGTATTTTAAAAAATATTCAAAAATCGTTTTTAGAATTAGAATACCATAATCTAATGCAGTTTTAAACTACTTTAAATGTAAATGTTAAATTTATGACTATCTTAATTACAAATTTTGTTTAGTCATTTCCATTGCTAGTATTATATTCATAATAAAAATGTAATAGATTATTTATTTTAAATAGTTATTGACTTAGCTTTTAAATGTAATCTTACCTTGCGTACAGCACTAATTCTTTGGTTTTCAGCATAAGAACCCACAGCCTCTACACTTTTCAAAAATACCACATAATCATTCCATATACTGTAAGAATGAATATCCATTCCAATCTTATCTAATGCAAAATCATATGCTTGTGCCATTTTTTCTCTGTGAAAATTATTAAAAAAATTTCATTTAGTGTCATTACAAAATTATTTATTCTGTATACTTTTACTCACTTATATGTAGCAAGACTTGCTTTAGTTTCTTTAACATAAGATAGATATAATTTCCATAGTTCAATATTTAAGATTTTCATGAGACACCGCTGAAAAAGCTGTTAAACAAAAAAAAAAAAAAAAAACTCATTTTATAATTATAGCAATACAGTTGGAGAAATTTCTCCAACTATGAAACAAAATTTTTGTTACCACCTACTTACTCTTCAAAAAGAGGCAAATATATACTATAATACTTTCCAATAAATATGTAATTTGTGTTTAAACACTACATGCTTAAGAAATTAAGCAGTTCGCACGCGACAATCCGATTATTTCTTTTCATTTCACTAACTTATATTTGAAAAAAATATTTATATTCGTGAAGTTGGGTAAGTAAAAATGAACCAATACATCTTTGCAAATGGTTTATTGGCAGACATATAAATTGTTATTGTTGATTTGAAAGCATTTGTATAAATATTTGAATTCCAATATGTTTTAAAATAAAAATTATTTTATTTAAAAATTTTTATACGTTTTTAATATGGGTAACAAGTCATAATATTAAAGAAAAACTGAGACTGCGAAACAACATAAGATGAGATCATCGTACTTTTATAATATAAATAAGTTTTATATATTGTCAATTAAACATAAAATTATATAAAAATGTAACGATGAATCATTTTATGCTACTTCTAAAAAGGATTATATTTTCTAATGGGTAAAATTTTCAAGGACAGGTTTTATAATAATAACAAGTCTTGTATAGATGACAATCTGCATTAGACATTATAGTTTTCAACATCGAAAATTTTTTTTCTGCTGGTGCAATTTTCAATAGTATATCGGAAGTACTGAAGACAAGTATTGAGCAAAAATTATAAGTAAATAAACTCAGGAAGGAATATAAGGCTACTATGTTCAGAAGGTTATTTTCCTCTTACAGTTTTGACTTTTACTTTTTTTATATGATGAAAATTTAATTTAAATTGCTTGTAGAAGCATTAATTATACAAATTGGTATAAAAAGAAAACTACCTCCCAAACATTGTATCAGCATAATAATCGATCAATGAAATAAGTGCTTTGTTGTGAAGATAAAGCTTTTTATTCACTTCACATAATTTGTAAAGTGTTATGTCACATTTCACACTGTTTTAATAATATATGCTTTACTTTTGATTTATATCACTTTTCAAATAATTTACTTATTATATTAAACTATAATCGCTTCATAATATAAGTATATAAAAACCAAAGAAGGGATATGTTGAATTATAATTAAGTAAAATGAAAAAGGACTTCAAAATTATAAGTATATTCATATTCACATAACAACTGAATATAGTACTTTTAATAAATTAATTGAATATAACAAAATAATCTATAAATAGAATGTATTATTTTATAGAAAAATAAAAATTTTATACTTTATGCAAAATATTATTCTAATAACTATATTTAATATCTAAAGTATCCATAAAAATACTTTTTCATTTTTCATTATCTTTCTATAATACATTTTTTTAGTATCAAACCTCTCATAATAGTATGTAGAACTAAAAAACTCTGCATAAACATACCTTTTCCACTTTTTCAAAGTTGCGCATTTTCATCTGAAAAAGAAAAAGAAATAAATGAATTATATAATTACTTAAATTACATAAAATAAAGATATATTTTCATTTAAATCAAGGATTACCTCTTGTTCAATATAAATTTTCCAATAACGACCTGCCAATGGAAAGACAGACACAAGTTTTTCAAAAATCGGTCGTACTTCTATAATTGGTCTGTTTTGTGCTTCTCTTATAAGTAGACTCCATGCTTCAAGATCATAAGGAGATTCATTGATAGTCTTTTGTGCACGCTGTAATTTTTCATTGCCCCAATCCTGTAAATTTTAATTTGAATAATTCTTTAGATATATAATTGAATTTGGTATAATTTAAAATAATATATTAGTAAGTTTAATAATGCTTATGTTCAATTATGGAACTATATATGTATCTTATAGTTTTTAAAAATATATTTTTAATACAAAATAAAAAGAAAAAACTATTAAATTTAAATATTAATACTAGTAATTCAATTATTTTAACTTTGTTATATTGATATAATTCGTTGAAGTTTAATTTGAATTTTTTATTGTATTATTTATTGAAGTGAACTTTTAATACAATTAATAGAAACTATTAATATATCATATAAAATATTTTCTAAACCGATTGCTCATGTTAATTAAATTATAATTAGGGAATAATTTCACCAACCCTGATTTAGCAAAATATATACTAATTGATATATAACATTAAGTCAAAATAATAATGAATAACATTCTCTATCTTCCTCAAATTTTAATTACAAATCAAATAATGAAAATTTATTTTGTATTGTACAGAATAAATATTTTTAAAGAATTATAACATTTAGCATATTTACAAGATACACAAAAATATCTGCTTTCAAACTCAAAAATTAATTCTAATTGTTATTAAAATAAATTATTGTAAATAATGACACTAATTTTATGTCAAAAAAACTAATAAAACTACTTTATTTAGATATTGAATAAAAAGAATACATTGACCATGAAAAGATCATAATTTTATTTACAATATTGGAGAAAAAAATTTGTATTAAACTTGTATTTTTTAATATATCAAATATCTTATAAATATTATCAATAAATTTTTGGTTATAAATACTTTTAAATTCAAACAATAAAACAAACATAATACTTATAATATAATGAAACCATTTCACATTAAATACAAATATGTTTATTAATTTCATTATAAATTATCTTGCATAATTTGAAAGTGATGCTAATTTATAAATTTTATTTAATTGTTTTAAAGCTGATTCATAAAAAGTATCTACAATATTGGATAGCTAATTAACATCGTAGATTGTATATGTTTGAAAGCACAGTATAATGGAACATATACACATTGTTTGAGGCATAAATTGAAGCCCTAGTAATATATTCACATATTGTTTGATATTTAATATAATCATATATATAAAGTCATTAAAAGATATTTAGTTTTGGTTCCTTTGGTTTTATTATAATTAAATTATACACATATAAAATGAAGTAAATCATATAAAACTTATTAATAATTATTTCAAGAATACTATAACTGGATTAATATTTTAATAAAGAATTGCATATTTAGTTAAATGTAAGAAAATTAGTTTATAGCAAGTAAAAGAAAATACCACAAAATGTGCAAACTCCACATCCATCTTGATTTTGGAAATATATATCGATATTAATTTTTCAATAAACTGAGAAATAACTTGAATTTAGGTATAGCAATTAGCGTTGTTAGAATAAATCCGCCATATTAAATAATAAAGATGAGTCAAGAAAGACTAACGCTTGAAGGTACGCACGCACGCACGATAAATCGAACCGAACCGAACATGCGCATTGTGTCTACCTATTGGTTTTCGAATTTTCACTATTCCAACCAAAAATATCTAGGAACTTGTTGAAAAATACAAATTTATATTGCATTTTAAATATTTTCGTCACTATATTAAAATTTAAGGAATCTGTGTTTAAATTAGTCAAAAATTTTCAACTTTTATAAATAAAATTTGGAAACAAATTTTTTTTTTGTCACTGTTATAAACAAATATTTATAACATAATTTGTATAAGTTCGAATAAGGTTGCATTTAAATGTAACCATTCAGAATTAATTGTTATAACAATTTCATGAAAGAAATTAAATAACATATGGTAATTTTTATTTGACATATTGCATATTACTTAAAAGTTAGCTGAACGTTATTAGATTTTATTTGTTGCTAAATATAATTATACTGTACAAGCCTTGCAATCACAAGATACAATTCACTCATATAAGAGTAATTACTTATTAATCCAATTTGAGGTTAAGTTTACTTTGAAACAGTTGTATATAAAAAAATTTAAAAATAAATAATTTATAATTAGCATTATGTTTATATATATATATATATATATATATATATATATATATATATATATATATATATGTATATATGTATATACAAAAATGCGTATATTATAAAAAATAAATACTTACAAAATGGTCGTTTTCTAACATGATTCACGTATTCTCTATCGAGTTTAACGTAGGGAAATGAGTTCCGGGTATATTCAATGATGTTTAAAATGTTATACTAATTGATGAGTTACGTATATTATTTCATGTAAGTAACAAACATTAACAAAATGACTTCATTTATTTTACCTTTTAATGGTATATAACTATGCAATACATACTCGCGGTTAAAAATGTGATATCAACTACACATTCTGTGTTTAATTTTGATTAAAATATGGCTGCTCGAACAAGCGCAACTGAAAGATGAAAGAAAAAATGAAGGTTACTACTACCTGCTTTATTTTACTTTCTGTCAATATTTAATTGCTAATAGGTAGAGGGGGAAGTGATCCGTATATCCTAATTCCTATAGTTGTACAAGCACGTTATACAATTATTGTGAAGTTAACGGTTAGCAACATCATTGCTTTAGGCAAAATTTTAAAGTTTATATTATTATTGTTTTAATGATTCTTATTTTTCTTTCAATAATATACAAAATTTTTTTCATATATTAAAACAGCATATTATAAGGCTTAAATAGCAAATATAAAATAATCGGTATTTTATGGATATAAACTATTATTTATTTCAAATTTTCTTTAAATATTTCTACATAATTTATAAGCTAATATATAATAATGTATTTTTACAAGCTAACTAATGCTTTCAAATTACTTAAAAACAAATTGTTTTTATATTTTATATCGAAATCGTAAGATGAGGTAAATAATGAATTGAATACAATGTTTTTCAAAAGTTTCTATGATATAAATAATGAAATATTTATTGATAAAAAAAATAATACTTCATGGCGTAAATAAATGAATATAATTTAATCTAAACAGTATATAAAAGAAACACATAATAAATAACATTTTATATAATTTTATTATCTTGTAAATCATTATTTCATTAATTTAAATATATGTGAAAGAATTAGATTTCATAATTTGTAAATATTTAACATTAATGCAAATAAATATATGCAAATGTTTTGTAAATACTAGTAATAAATTGTTTTAATTTTACTTTTTCATCCTTAGTATTTAAGTCAATAATTTTAAATTTATATATTCTTGTTTCATATTCATACATTTATGTAATTTATAATGCATCAACTTCATTAGTCAATCCAAGTATTGTTATATTTTTATCAGTTTATGTATAATCGAGGGAAACTTTAATTTGAGAAGACCCCCGATGAACAGAATTTAATAAACGTACATTATTAGACACACGACAACTATCTATTTATCCAGTCAAGTCATTATATTTATAAGTTTTATTGTTTTATACATTATCATCGATAAGTTTTCAAACGGTAGGAAATACAAATATTTATTATTTTTAAAAATTGATGAATAATTATTGATCAATAACCAATATTAGTGATATTTATGTTTTGATGGATAATATAAAAAAAAACTTATAATTCAATAGGAAGTGCATATTTCTATAAAATATTAATTTAAGTCTATTAATTTATATAAAAGTATATTAACCGAAGTACTATAGGAACAATTTTTTATTCATATTTATATTAAAAAAAAAAAAAAATTTAAACCCGAATATAAATATGTATTGATACATAAATATCAAATCAATTACGTAATATAAAGGTTGTTTTACTACACTGTGTTCCAATATATGCAATAAATAATAAATTAGTAATATGGATTTTTAAAACACGTCTTATAATAATAAAAATTGAATATTTTATAATATTTGTCATTTTGTATCAAATGATAAATAATTATAATAAAAATAAGACTATAAGGAGGAGACCTATAAGGAGTGATTTATTAAAAGAAATTATTATTTAACAGATTGTCTCAAATTGCATAAATACTTGAATATTTTAAGGACTATATATCTGAATTCATAAAAACGAAATATTTTACATCGTTTTAGACACATACATATTAATTTTTCAAACCACATATATTTTGTAATCAAATATTTTCATTGTTTATAAGTGGAAGATTTCATTAATAATATATTGCTTTTTGCAAAATTATCATTTTAGGTTTAAATCAAATGCTGTACTTATAAATTGATTATTGGTTAATTTCAAAGTATAAACTTTTATTATAACATGTTAAAAGAGAAAATAAGATAAGATTATATTTATATATAATTTTTTAACACAATTAGAAATAAAATGAAGTATTGATGATCGTTATATGTAGTTATAACTGATAATAATATGTAAATCCAATCAACGGCATCTACACATATTCTGTTCCCTTGCGCCTAAAACTTTCATATTTAAATATATACGTAAGATTTTGATAATTTTTGTAAATTATGGATGTATTCTCTATTTTAATAGGTTTTCATTTCATTACAGTTTCATCGTATTGGATATTTTAGTCATAGAATAATCGTTGTTATTGTAAACATAGATTTTCACAAAAAGATTTGTTATTTAACAAATTAAAAATTAATAAGTGAAATAATTTTTAAATAAATTTTTCTTATAATATACAATAGTGTAATTATGTCTTGTTTTTTTAGATTTATTAAATGTATAAATTTATATTATATTTTTAATACTTAAACAAAAATTTAATCGAATGAAAACCATGGAAGTTAAATGTAGTTACTTAAAAAAAAATTATGCTGCTTCCACATCAATTAGATTGTTTTTAAATTTGTTTTTAATAAAGTTATCAATTTCATTGTTCATTTTTTTTAATAGACGTTACTTTACAAAATGTTATAAGCATTGTGCATAAATTGATTATTTATTTGTTTCATAAATTTTGAAATGTTTTTAATACTGATATAGCAAAGTAATTAGTATACCGATAGCAGCAGATTCATATGCATGAAAAATCTATTTAATATCATTAATGCTCTGGTAATATTTAATAATGTCAAAATATATGTCTTATATTTATTCATCAATTGCATATTAATACGAGACTCTTGCTTTAAAAACTTTGCTGTTTTTTTTATTACGTGCATCTAACAGGTGTGCATGCACATGTACACAGTCAGATAAAATTTAAATATTTTGATGGTTAAAGAATGAAAGCATGAAAATAACCTTAATGTATTGATGGAGTAATACGTAATTTAATCGGAGATTGATTTGATAAAAAAAATAGAGATAAATAATAAATTTTTCGATGCTATATATGTGACGCCAAAGTTACAGATAAATAAATCACTTTAATACATTTTCTTTATGATACAGCAATACAACTCTTTCTTTCTCCTTCATTTGATCACAAGTTTTCTTGGATTTTCCTGATTAAACTTCTACTTTGTATAAGTTTGCCTTATAGTTGCTCCTTAGAAGATTCACATTTGCTTTATTCTTTTGATGCTTCTGTATTACTGATATCATAATAATTAGTCGGTTATTGTTCTTCTCTTCATCTTTTTTTGTCCAGCTTTTCTCTTTTTCGAGAAATAAAGGATACTCATCATTGACTAGCGAGTATCTTATCCTTACATAATATAACATTTTAATTTCATACATAGTTTTAATGTATTGTAAATTACGGTCTTATTACGTGGTGCATATTATTATTATTATTATTATACTGCAGTTACATACCAAAATTGAATTTCAATCGCTCAATTTTTGCATGTTCTATCGGCTTAAGGAGTAAATTAAATTGATTAGTAGAACTGTATTATTTTTGTATTATTATTATGAAAACCCTTAAGTAAATATTAAAAAATAATTATTAAATAGAATCAATTAAGAATAATATTTATCAACGGTGATATCGATTTATAATACCGCTCTATTTATATAAAATAATTTTCAGCGCTTTCTAATAGTTTTTAAAGAAGGTTACTCTTTCAAAATAAGTTTCTTTCCTGAGGAATTCAAATATCTAATTATTATTTTAAATTTAATTCTCTAACCTTATTAAAGCAATTAATTTTGCTAAAAAAACTAATTGATATCAATATTTACCATAATAAATAATAATTCAGATATAAAAATGTAATTTTCTAAAAATTAGATTAAAGTATCTATTTAAATACTATGAGTACTTCATTTAAAAAAATATACAATTAAAAACTCAGTAATAATGTTTCATCACTTTCTTAAATGTTTATGAATATATTTTACACATATGTTACAGTTTAGATTTAGTTACGTCCATTCTTCGATTACTATTTTTTATTTCGTATGTCTATAAAAATTTGAATTGTTAAAATAGTTAAACATAATTATATACGTATATTCGTGTACATTTCATGGATATATCTATACAATTACAAGCAAAAAGGTAAGATTTTATTAAATTTTGAAGATACTAAAGAAATTTTTTTGGGATTATTTTC